TTGGTGGGCGTGGCTTGGTGGGTGTGACAGGGGAAGGTAAAATCCCCGTTACCTCCACACTCCTGGGGGAAAGTTACTGCAAAATCCCATTGCCTCCCCACCCCACTAACCTGCTTTCCAGCTATGTTCTCCTGTACAGGGCAACAAAAGAAGACCCAGCAGATTAGCTGGGACTTGGAAGTCAGAGAATAGATGGGGGCGGGGCCAGTCAGAGGTGGTATTTGCCGATTCTCCAAACTACTCAAATTTTCCACTACCAGTTCTCCAGAACTGGTCAGAACCTGCTGAATACCACCTCTGGCTTGAACCAAATTCTCCTTAGTACTATTCCAATATTCTAGCCCAGCCTTCCAAATTCTCATGATCTCCAGTTAGGGCAAGCTACCATTAAAGAATTGGCAGGAGCACCAGCATTGGCTATAGATTGAAGGCTATAGATTCAAGCAATTTTGGTTCTGGTCTCTCTTCTATTCTAACCATTTCTGTGTAGCATGATCCAGACTTCAGAAGCCTACGGTATATAATAGCCCTGCTGTATGGTATGATTGAAGTTACTATCAAAGTTGACAAAGCATTCTTCTGAAGGTCATCACAGTCCAGAATTTATCATAAAACTATGCATATTCTGGTGTTTAAATTCCAAGCAGTGTTTAGTAAAGTTTTTAGCTAAAAAGTCCCATATTTGCCGGAGAAGGAAGACCACCCTGAATTTCAATAACAGCTTGCAATAAAATCTTGGCTTTTAAACAATGCCTTGGCTGTTCTTTAGTTTTATGGATGTTATTTTTTTAAAAAAAAGCTAAAATGAATACTTCCACTGTCTTTAAATCATAATGTGTGCACGCTGTTTTATTTCTTTGCAATGGAGTTTTTAAAAATCTGAAATATGTTGAATGAAAGAGAGTCAAGGTCACAGAAGTGCACTTAAAATGAACCAAAGCTGAGAAAATTAATATATTATTAGTCCGGTTTGTGATTTCTGCTGTGAAATTATGCCTGGATTGCTAGTTTCTGTCTATTGTACATTTCTGTGTTTCTTCTAAATATAATTCAAGTGGAGTGAAGATGGATGATGGGGCCTCATGAATGTAACACACAATCACTAAGGCACAACTGCATGTCCTGCCTCCATCTCTCATTATGTGCAAACTGGAAAAAACTTCATCCCCATTCTAGGCTTAATAAGATTGCTGTAATCATATCTAAAGAAAGAAAGATTAAATAAGGGCCACCTCTAGCCAAAGAGTTCCTTTTTATGAGTTATTTTATACTTAGCTAGACATGGACTTGGCTAGGAGAAAAGATGGATTGATTGGACTGATTAATCTTGTGTCATCGTTATCAACAGATAGATTTTCTCCATGATTAAATTAATGACATAGGGATTAATCAGTACTCCCATCCCTTTTGGATGGAGATGACTCTCTCAGGTGGAGTCTCAGAGAGTTGGAACAAGACACAGGCCACCAGCTGATACTTTCTTCATGGGTTCTAGGTCCCATATATAGAGGGCTTCTAAGTAGGCAGAAAATGGTCACACTTTTGTAGCAATTCTCCTCTCCCTGATTTCACCCCATTGAGCCTGTTGTCTGAAGGCATTTGCCTTTTCTTGAACACAGAAGTTCTCTCCATCAATATAGGGCACTGATAAAATAACATCCTCACAATCAACTGAAACCTGCTTTCATTTAGTTTAAGGCATTACACAATATGCCATATCCTACCTTGAGAGACAACAACCATTCACTTTATTGTCATGCCATCCAACCCCTTCTCAAGTAGCTTTCAATCAGCATATCAGCATTTGTGAAATACTTTGTGTAGTTAATATGCCATGTCTACAGCATTCTTACAATTTATTAAGAAAGTTTCACAAACAAAAAATGAAAATGCTCTAGAATCTTCCTAGGGATTGATAGTTTGCTCCCCTGCACTTCACAGTATATGAACTGAGACACGCACACCCCATTCATGTCCCAAGCAAGAAAACATATTTCAATTTGCCTTTGTAAAAGTAAAGGCTCCTAGACCTCATCTTGAATTCTGATGATTTCCTGACACAACCATGTAGTTGTGGGAAAGTAGCAAAATAGTTTGTCACTGTCTTCTTCTGAGATTTTTTAAATTCCCTGTCTAGTCTACAGACTTGGGAATTTCCTGTGGTCTCTCATCAATTACTAACTTAGTTTTCTGGGATCAGTCAAATTAGCTAATTTTTTTTAGACCACCTGTTTCAACCTAACACATAGCTGTTTTCTCTAAAATGCAAAGGTTTTATATGACTAGGTCCTCCTTTCCCATAACTGCAGATGAGGAAGCCACAGAAATAAATGCTCTCCTCTTCAGTTAAAAACAAAACAAAACCTCCCCATAGGAAAGTAACTATTAGGGGCATAGCCAAACCCATGACTAGTCTTAATTAGATCTGTGATTCAACAGAGAAAACCACAGTTTTGAATCTCATATGGATAATTCATTATATTTTCACCCCAATAATAAATCATCTGCATGTCTTCAGGGACAATTATGTATACCAAACTCTGTATATATAAGCCAAGGTCCTTGAAAGTGGTGGTAACTAATTAGCTAATAGGGATGAATCCAACTTCTGTAGAGGCTGATTTTTTTTTTTATAACAAAAAGGTCTACAAAAAGGTTTCAGATCATCTTGTTCAAATTTAGTGCTGTGCAGATGAATCTTGGTACTATGATCCCTATCTTGTGGATGTCATCAGATTGAAGAATGGCCTCCTGGACCAAAATATATTGGGAAGGTTCTAGAGGCTGATATGTCCTCAATGCAAGGATCAATAATCTTTTTTACGTACTGGGTAACCAAAAATAAAATGGTCCCAATTTCATAAGATTAGCAAAATTGCATGAGATGTCGGTAATTTTTTATCGAAATGTTAGGCGGTTTTTAATCAAGAATGTTGACATCTAACAAGAAAAAAATCTTTTATTTGAAGGGTCCACAGAGGCCATCTATGGGGAGACAGGTCCCAGGCTGCAAATAACTGCATTCAGGATTACAAAATTAACTCACATTCCTTCAGTACAATACAGACCTATATCAGATTTCAAGCAAAAGAACCAATTCATAGCTTATGAAACCAATTGGTCCCTAGATATTCATCTAGCATTAGGCAAGATATTTCTTCTAGTTTTGCCACTTTACTCTGGTTTTCCCTC